TTTGTGTTTTTTTTCCCCCCCTTTCTCTTCTTCTGAAGTAGATCTGCCCTTTAAAGGGATGAAAACTTACATCTTTATGGAAGGGAAGGAGGAATGAAGGGAGGGAGGGAGGGAGGGATAACCAAAACTCCTGCTGTGGCAAGAAACCAACTCAAAAAAAGGTGCGGGTTTCATGAATTCACAAAACACTGAATATCTAAAGACTCTACAGGAGAGGAGAGCAAAATATCAAGCAGCATAAGCAAGGCAGAGCCCCATGGTATCCACCACATTTGAATCTTTAATGTTCATTTAAATCACAAAAGTTCAGACTTAATTTCAGCTGAAAGGTCTTATAGTAATACTTAGTGCCCAGTTCTCTTATTTTGGCTGGTTAAATGAAGAAATTGTTCATGACGGTCTTCAAACAATTGGTCCCCAGGTACTTTGATAGCTCATACTGGTAGCATTCAGCATTGTCCACTGAACTGAAATTATTATGCTATTAATATTAAATATATTATATAATTTAAAATATTTAATATATGGATGCTACATCAATATTAAGAAGGCCTGACACTTCCTACTGCAAACCCTATTTTCAGTTAGTTAAAACTTCTCATACTTGTAATGATTTGACACAAAATTTTCCGTGCCAGGTGTCTGCCTCAGGCAGAATTTTGTGGTGTTCTATCGTGTGTTTGTTTTTTTTTTCCCCTTTTAATGTCAGCCAGAGCTGCGCAGTTATTTCTGTGAGCAGCCGGCCAGGGAAAACCATGCAAAATAAACCTGGGAGCCTTTTAGAAGGGACCAAGTGTGTCCTCCTCCTGGGGGAAGGCACTTAACCTTTGTCAAAGGTGTGACTTTCTTTTGGAAACCTGCTCCAGTTGGAAATCCTGCTGGCAGCTGGGTGAACCCTGTGTTCCCACCAGCCTGTTGGAATCTGATGGATACAGCCATACGCTCTCAGTGCCTTCAGCTCCCAGCCAAAACCACTCTGCCCTGTGCTTTCCCCCCAGGCAGACAGCAGCTCCTTCCAGCTCCAGTCAGGAAAACTGCTAGCAATAAGAAAAAAAAAAGTGACATATTTCAACCACCTTTTCTCCTTTTCTTCATAGTTCATCTTTACCTTGCTCATGTTAAACACACTGAGCATCCCTTAATACCTGCTTGTGCTTTTAATTCCTGAAGTAGGTCTGCAAAGGACTATAAGGAAATCTTGACACAATCAGTAAGTTTTAAGGCTAAAGTACTGAGATTTTTCTTTGTTTTCTGTCCAAATGGTTTTATCAGCAAGATACCTTCAAATTCAAACTTACTGCCCATGTTACAGGAAGAGGTCCTCCTCCTTCTTCTCTCAGTGGGCAGAACTTGCCTGCCTTGTCTCATGCTCTCCAACATCTGTCTCAGATTTGGCAGCCCCAGCACAGAGCCTGAGACTGCAGCAGTGCTCTTCCCTCATGCTGTGAAGCCTCAGCACATCCTGGTGCATCCCCAGGAGCATGGTGCTGTCCTGGGAGGCTTTTCCACACCCTGCCTCTTCCACCTACCCAGAAATTGCAGATCAGTTTGTCAAAATAATGCAATAGGTGTAAGGTTTTATCCTAAATCTGAAGTGGAAGCACAGAATTACGATTTCTGGTATAGCATTCATTTGAATATTGCTTCTTTTAGTGGTATTCATACACTCCCAAATACCCAAAAAGTATTTTTATTGTAAAAGTTTCTGACATTTTTCTATGTATCGATGCTCTGGAGACCAAAGCAATTTCTAGGGGATTTTAAGTACATTTAATCTAGTTTTATTTTCTTGGCATTTCTTAAATTCTTGAATACTCATTTTGGAGTATCTCAATTACATTGCTTATAAGATGACAAACATACATCTCCTATAACTCATAGAATTCAGAATAATGATAATTTTCTTGCAAAAAAAACATTTTAATGTGCAGAGCTTGTTTCTAGTCCTTTTGCTCTTTACGCTGCATAACTGGTATGTTAAAGGATATAAGTATAGACAGAAATTAGACTAAAAATTAGATTTGTTCAGCAAAACTTTGATTGCTGTATCACAGCTTTTTATGATAGCATTCAGTTCAAATCTGTTTGCATACCTTATTGAGCAAGCTGCATATTTTTCCAGCATGTGTATCCAGTGTGTATCCTGTAGTCATTACATTTTTGCACACTTCACTGCCTGAGCTGCATGGACTATTTTAACTATCACCAGGAATACTTGACGGAGTTCAGCTGCTCATTTGAGTGCTTCAGTTTGTGTGCTTTATTGCTTCAGTGGCATGTGTTGATAAAGTTCTGCTCTGTGCTGTTGAATTTTTGGTTCTGCCAGCCCAGCTCGGTGCCATGCTGGGGGAATTGCGCGCGCTGCAAACCGCTCGCTCCGCGGCGAACGGGAGCGCTCGAAACGCTATCATCTGCAGTGTTTTGTTAAATGAGCTGCATATTTTTGTTTTTATATACATTGCTTACCCAGTTGTGTACATTTGCCCAACTCATTATACAAAATAAGCTTGATTGGAATAAGAACATTCTCTACCAGCTGTCTGCTCTGAGTCAGTATGTAACAAAATTAGCAACTTTCCCTTTCCAACAGTGGCATGATTGCATCCAAAGTTTAAGGCAATTGGTTTGGAGATCTTGTTTGTTTCATTCACTCCATGCAAACATCAAGATTAACAAACCAATTTGTTGCAACTTAATTTGTTTTCAAAAATATGAACAGAGTTAAGTAACAGAGGGAAATCTGAGCATTCTAATAGGGGAAAATGCTTCCATGTAGGGCATAAAGCCTGCAGAGACCTAAATAACATTCTCTAACTTGAAGCTGTCCATTGTGAATGTAAGAAGATGAAAAATAACTAGAGACGTCCCAAGGTGGATATTTAATCAGATAAGCAATATCCTAAATACTTAAAATGACAAACATAGCATTCTGTAAAGTAAGTGCATTATTTCTTCGAGAGTTATAAAAATAAGTTCATCTCATGACCATTAGAAAATCTCAAAATGCATGAAAACTTTTGTGCTGGGATATGTAGTTTCCTCACTACCTTTGGTGCAAAATTCAATTACCACCTTCAAGAAAGTGGTTTTCTCAACTTGCTAGTTTTTCATGTCAGTTCTAGTCAAACCTACAGGTTATTTTTAGGTTTTGCTTTTACTGATCTGCAGAATTTGCAACGTAGATGTATGTGCTCCCATTCACAAAATCTTCAGCACTACCTTACCTCAAAAAAACTTGCTTAATTTTTCTTGAGTCCAGAGCTACTTAGGGCTATGCTGTTCACCTGGCATCCTACCTGCCTCATAAGAAAGGATAAATATGCCTGGTTCCTGTTTGTGTCCCACTGCTGGTCCCTTTCACCTCATCACTCCCTGTTGCCTGAGCAGACTGCCTGGAAGGTCCAGATGTGTTTTTGCAAAGTTTTACATATAAAAGCTTAATTGATCTTACTGTTTCACCCAAAATTTGTTTGATTTTAAAGAGTGACCAATCACTTCTTAGGCTTCTCATAGACCATTATGAAGGGTGCCAGCATTTAAATAGCTTGTTCTAAAAGAAAAGTGTGAATATAATTGTTAGTGGTTTGTCTTCACAAAAAGTCTCCACCTTTAAAAAACAAATGTAAAGAGAGACGTAGAAATTGAAAATATCACTATATTGTGGACTGTTTTATAAAAACTAATTTAGACTTCATATTTTGTTTTGTTGGAGTACATCAGTGCTGGGTATCAAGAGTACAACAAATGAGGGATACTGCATTTAACATTTGAAAAGTCAGTGTACTCCATGAGATGAGCTAGATCAAATTTAGACTTTCTTAACAGAGACAGAATAAGTAATTTTGTATGAAATGATTTGAAGCAGACAGATGGTAAAGAAAAAGTTTTTGTCTGTTTTCTCTTGTTGTCCCTCTGCATTAATTTGCTTTTAGTATCAGTCCATTACCCTTTAAGATCCAAACTTTGCTCTTCCTTGACCTGTTAACCAGTTTTCCCAAAGTTTTAGTTTAAACTAAGATCAGGTTTAGAATATTTTCTTCTTATCTATCATATTCAAACAACAGATGGCTATGTGTAATCTCTGTGTAGGTATCCTGTACACTTTTTGCAAAGGAAAATTCTTCCTTTTTCCAGGGGAAAGGAAGAGAAATATTCCTGTCTTTGGGGGGGGGGGGGGGGGGAACATCAGGAACCTTTTTTTTTTGCTGCTGTTGCTGCGTGAAGGCTCAGAAGGGTGGGGAATCACCCTTGGTCAGTTTGCAGGTGACACCAGCTTGGATGGGAGTGTTGACCTGCTGGGAGGCAGGAAGGCTCTGCACAGGGATATGGACAGGCTGGGTTGGTGCCATAACAAGCAATAGGATAAGAGGTTTTACCAGAGGAGGTTTTAGATTGTACATTAGGAAAAAATTCTTTGCAGAAAGGGTTGTTAAGGATTGGAACTGTCTGCTGAGGGAAGAAGTTGCCTCCTCCAGAGGGATGTAGATGTGATGCTCAGGGATATGGTTTACCCATAGATTTGGAAGTGCTGGATTAATGGTTGGACTTGATCTTGGAAGTCTTTTCTAACTTCAGCAATTCTGTGTTTCTATCCTATGATTCTATGAAGCAGATGGAAGGTTTTCACAAGGAATGCTACCCCATGTCCCAGCTTTCCAACCACCTCTGTAATGTTCACATTATCACATCAATGCAGCACATTGGACTTGCTCTGCTTATTTTTTCATCTGGCTAGGATTCCTACTGAAAAATCAGCATGCTAAATTAAAAACATATATTTCATATGTATCAATGCAGTATAAAACAACATGGACATTTTAAATTCTTAGAACAGACAGGATATCCATTATCTGAGGCCTATGGAGAATAACAATAATACATAAGGTACACATCTATTTCATATATTATCTGTGTATATTTTTATGCATCTGGTATAGACAACACACATAGAAACTTTCAGAATTTATACCTGATCTCTTTTTCTTTTTTTTCTCCTCCAGAGAGTAATTTTCAATGTTGTCAACTTCAGTAAAACAAAAAGCCTCTACAGAGATGGGATGGCTCCAATGGTGAAATCCACAAGCCGTCCAAAATGGTGAGTTATTCTCTCAAAGAATTAATGAGATGTTAATGTTTTACTTGGCACTTGTACCAAAGACCCTGTGGTTGAGGAACACTTTTACCTGAGAGTATGAGAACCTTGATACAGCAGTGTTGTGAGGACAGGTTCTCTTTGGAGCACATGGACAATGTGAATTCTGGACCTTGTTTCAAGAGGCATGACTGAAGTGGTGTCCATTTGAGAAAACTGAGCAGTCAGGGCTTGGGGTGAATTGTTTTCCAGTGACTGTCCTGCATTAGCCTCCTGAAAAACCCCTGCAAATACTGTGGGAGATGGACTGGGGTTGGTCTGGTTCTGAAAAGCTGCTTGGAATTGTTCAGCCTATTTTGGGGTGGCTGGAATTTGGTAAAGTGGGCTCTGCCACGTCAGTTGACCTCATGTGAATGAGCAGTGCCTGGTCTAAGACAGAGGGAGGCCAAACAACCTCATCATCAGCTGCATAAAATGTGCAAAACGGGAAGTCATGTGCATATTAAACATGTGAATACCCATATAGATTGTACATTTTCTCAAAGCAAATGTAATGAAACATCTACTGTGAATAATAATATGCAAATCTAGTGAGTCTGAATGCATGCAAGACTCCCAAGAATTATATGATTTGCCTTTGCCAGGAGACTTGTTTGAATATGGATAGTGAGGTCAGGCCAGAGGTGTACAGTAAGTTATTCTTGTCAGCCTTCACAGCTGCTATTTTTTATTGGTTAATTAGTAATACATTTGATCAAGGTGGACATTATCTGGGCTTTATAAATATATCTTTCTTAAATGATTCAACTGTCACAAATTTTCCACTCAGGAGATGGAAATGGTCATAAGTTTGTTCTCATAGTGTGGCTTCCTCTTCATGTGACCAACAGAATGGATATTTGGCCTTTTGTCTAGATGTTAAGGTCATATGGACTGTCTCACAGTCATTGGAACTGAGTCAATTCCAGTTCAGTAGGAACAGGTAATAACATTGAAAATTAATTTAAAAAATCCATTGCATTTAGTGTTTTTGTAGCAAAAGTCATGTTAATTGTGTTTACTATTTAACTTCAGAAAAATCTTTTGGGGCATTTCAGGGCCACATTTATCAAACATATTTTAATCATCTTTCAAAACCTTTTCCTTCTCTCCCTGGGGTCTGGCATCTGCAGCTAAGCGTATTGTGTTTTAAGTTTATCTATAAATCAGATATTGCTTTCATACAAATTTTATGCCTTACTTCGGTTTCAAATTAAAGTGTAAATCTTACAAAACAATGCAAAATTGACTTATTTTTTTAGAACATAGAGGCTCCTTCACTATTTTTAAAACAGATTTCTCTTCCACTTCCCCGGAGACCTATTTATTTTTGTGTTTTATATTTTTAGAGGATGTATTTTGCTCCCATGAAAGTGAGGAATGAATAACATTGCCTGAAGCCAGGCACAGTGTAGGCAGCAGGTGCTGAGCAGCTTCCTTTTACAGGGCTACTACCACACTTTAATCCTGTTTCAAAAATTCAAGATGCAATTTTTTTTTTCTTTAAAAAGATGATTATTCTATTAAGATATTTTTATTTTTTTCTAATAGTCTGCATATGAAAACATCTTGCTCTGCTTTGAAGGTGCACATTAATTCATACTGTTATCAGGGACCTTAGTGATATTGGGGTCTACTCAGTATAATTTTCTGTCTTGATGTTAATAGGATTTATGCATGTGTTTTCCAAGTGGGAAAACATATATATTATTTTTGGATATATGAGCTCTATCAGGGATGTCTTCCATTTGGATTATGCCTGTCACAGTTACCTCTGTATCTGTTTCCATGGCATTCTGCTGCAACCTGTAAACAAAATTTTCTCTTTCTCTGTTTGCTGAAATAGGATTTGCCAGTCCTTGCAGCTGCTGTTGCAGCACACAGGTGGTTGTGGTCCTTCAACAGGAGCAGGGCAATATCCAGCTGCATTGATTGGATGCTGTTTGATGTTTTGTAAGCATTAGTCCTGTGAGCAATATTGCATCATTCAATGCTGCAAAAGTGCTGAGCTTTACATGAGGGGAGGAAGGCGTGGAAGGAAAATATTAAAACTCTCCACATCCTGTTAGGGTTTATGTCAGCATAGCAGTTTAGTGGACACAATGTAATTAAATTAGAAAATTATATATTAATTACGAAAAGCTGAAGAAACACCAAAGTTTCTAAAATCCAGTTGAAAGGAAGATTACCAGCAGCCATGGGCTACAAAAACTCTGTAGCTCACGCTTCATCCCTGAACTCCTCTGTATGAAATATTTGAGGAGTTAATCATTATTGTGCCTGCCTGTGGAGCCATTTGTTCCATGCCAAAATTCACCCAGCTTCCTCTGGCCACAATGATAGGCACAACTCTGTCACACGTAACTATTCCTCCCCCTTTTTTTAGATAATCAATTTTGAGTTTTAGATTATAAATTGCCCGTTTTCCTTTTTTGCATTTGAGAGATATATGTACATTATCCCTCTTTATAACAGATGTTCAAGCCTGAGTTATGGCTTTTTGATTTAAATGAGAAACTTCCTACTGTATTCAGGCTAGAATTTGACCGTATTGCTCACAAACCCTTGCATATCAAAAGTAGATTGGCCTCCAGAGACTGTGAATTTTAATATTTGTTTTGAATGTGGTTATGCAAACATGGCTCCAAGCTTTGCAACACTTTGTGAGTTTGATTCTTGACTCTGGAACAAATTGCTGCCAAGTGCTCTTGAAGTAGAGAGTGTGTCAAACAGAGATCAACGTTTTTGACCTGTATTCTCTTGCCCTGTGGGGTAAGATCTTTAAATGCAGACAGCATCAAGGTTCAGCTCAGTGTTACTGATGCAAATGGAGTATATCACTGTCATCAAAGCACTCTATGTGGACACAGATGTTCTGGTGTTGACATATTCTTCTCTTTTGAAGTAAGGCCAAACATTTCCAGTAATGAGCTACTGGAAAAGAGGAAGCAGTAGGGATATCCTTGAGGGATAAGCAAAAATATAGGTTTCACTGTAAAGAAAAAGATTTCTTTTAAAAAAACTTAAAAGCCTGAAAAAAATTCTGATTAAAGTGATATATATATGCTTTCCCACACGTGGTCATGGGCACTAAATAATAAGGGATTGTATTGGTTGTATCAAATTTCACTGCATCGAAGCACAGCTCACATATAGAAATACAGCAATGTGTCACACCTTGTGACATCAATTGCTTTCCACAGCAGACTGGACAAGATAAAACTAAAGGTTTTATTACAAACCAAGGAAATGGACCATGTCACTTTTACATTTTGCTTAAAATTAACTGTTTTTTCAGCTATATTGCACCAAGATTTTAGAGAATTGGAGGACATTTTAAAATCAAAAATTACTATTTATAATTTTTTAATATAAAACCTTAGTATCATAAAGACCTGTTCTGATTTGCCTGTGTCTGTTTTTCCTGTTTAGTGGAGGTGAAGAATTTGAAGGGAGATGGATTTGAGGAAATTGAATTTTGGCTGTGTTTATGGACTTTATACTGTAATCCTATTTTTCTTTGCTGCTTGATTTAAGTACAATATTATTTTTTTGCAGTTTCTTAATCATGATTTCACACTAAGAGCTCTGTCTTTGGAAGTAAAGGCAGTAAAGCCTGCCATGTGGGCGTAGCAGTGGAAGACCATCTAAGTACATATACTGTACTATTATATTGATTGCACAAAGTTTTACAAGTTTCTCAAAGTTAAATAGAAGAGTGAGTTGTTCGAGAGGCAGCAGATTTTCCAAATGATGAAGTGAGCAAATATTCCCTTTGGGCAGAGAACAGCTATAACTCTTGATTATTCAGTGTGAGCATTGCCTCATTGGGGACATTAGTTTTTCAAATTGTGCTAATCTTTTAAAAGTAACAACTGGCCACTCATCACCTTAGGTATTTCAGCAAGATCATGTGCAAAACTCTAATTAGTATTTATAGAACAGCAACTCCTCCCAGTAGAATAGCAGCGGTAGCTGGCAAATATCTGGTTGACACCTGTTAAGTCTTTAGACATCCATTGTATTTTATTCTGCATTTCAAATGAGCAGAGAGCAGTAGGTGAAGTCCCCATAATTAAGGGATAAAGGATAATAAATAACATGGCTCTTGAGTGGATGAACACAAGGTTAAAGGGTGTTCTGCAGTTTTGATGCTGTATTTCAGGAACTGTTTGTTTGGAAGTTATAATGCTAGCTAAAATATTATTGAGCCTTCAGCATACGGAGGATTTATGTCTAGATCTAAATGTGTTTTGTTTATAATGTCAGATTTCAAACTGCTTCTTGGCAAAGCAGTTGCTTTCTTCCCTGTCTTTTATCTCACTCGGCACTGATGGCTTTTAACCGGGTAGCTCCTTTCCCCAGCAAGCACTCTGCTACCTCTGCTGCTGTAACATCTACTGCTAAATGCTCACAACACATTGCTTCTGAAGTGTTTTTCTATTCCAGCAAACCTGGAAGAACATAAAAACTTCTGGGTAATTAATTCAAATTTGAATCTGTATGTATCTTGGTAAATATTGTCATGATGAGGAATTTTGGTAGACATCAAGAAAAGCAATGTAAGTTTTATGAACAATACTCCCATATGTTCCATTCATCAGAAGGGGACAAGTCTGAGAAAATCTGAATTTTGAGTAGCTAAAATGTGTTGCTTCTTGCCAAGTTTCTTTAACATTTGTGTCTACAATGCAGTGTTACAATCACTACCATGTCTACCAGGCTGCATTATACATTCTGAGACTTTCAGCAGCATTTTTAGTATGTATTTATATATCTTTAGCCATAAGATAAGCTGTTTGTGAAATGAGCTGTCATTTGTGGTGAAACAGTTTGAGAATAAAGCACTAAATATATATATAGCTTGCTAATCTGAAAGACTAAAATTGCTTACTATAAAATATATAGCAGGCTGGGGCTGGTGATAACATCACCTGAATTTAGGTAAAGAAGATGAACAAGCT